ACAAAACCATTATACCCTGATTTCCCATTTTCAATGGGTTCAGGGTATAAAAACATTGAGAGTGCGGATCGTTAGCAACGGATGTTGCTTGGAGGATCGCAGCGCTTTTTGTTTATGGAGGTCAAAACTACAACATTTGTTGTGGCTCTTCTGTTTTTTACTCGCGTGTGTCACGTTAACCCAATAAATAAGACATTTGTAAATAGTGCTACTACAGCAAGAGAAGAGAGGATTTCTTCTTTTTGATTAGTATTTTTAACAGTGGCAGCGCCGCTGTCAAGGGCAGCTGCGTCGACAGCGACGCCGTCGGTGGACGATAGAGCCGAGCGGCCTCTCGCCATTTGTCGATGCGTTCGATCGTTGTTTTTAATGTGTCTTTGATGTTGTCTAACGATTCGGTTAGCTGCTAGCTTTTCGCGAAAATTCAAAACGAAATCTTTTCGCTCAGTATCGAGGGAAATCACGACGCGCCAACTTGGTGGGAAATGCCAGTACGTGAACGCGCTCAATTAGTGTGCACAAGGATTAGCAGCAAAAGTGTGACAAAAGTCATCTGTATATATATATGATATGGAAAAAATAAAAATAAATATAATATTTAGTATATAATGTCTACAAAATAATCGCGCTCTTCCTGTCGTTCATCTAATTAGCATCGAGTGCCGAGCGATTATACGGATCAGCTCTTAAGCAGTGCTATGCCAAGTGCGCTCTATCTGTGAATAGATTCTTTGAAAAAGTTAATAAATTTCGTGAATAATTGCACAAAATTGATATATTAATTGCCAGGCATTTATATTCTACCGTGAATACGTCTTAATACACATTGTCGAGTAGAGCTGTATCTCTATAAGTATAGCTAGTGCCTGGCTATAAATAAATAAATAAAAAAAATTATACATATGCATAGATATACATATATATTTATACACATAGAGCAAATAACAACAAATTTTATTTATTGCCCCATATATACATAAATACATACACACATGCTTGTTTGTATAGGTATATGTTAATGTGTGTGCGTGTGTGTGAGTGTTGTGTTTGTGTCTCAGCCAAAAGCAAATAATTTTGTTTTCGTTTTTTTTTTTTTTTTAATTTTAGCGCTCACTAACTTTTTCAGCGTTAAAAGCACAAACAAAAATTCGTGTCATAAAATCCCATATTAAAAATACAAATAAAAAAGAATTATAAAAAATTAGCCAAAATATTTTGCATCAACAACAAAGTGAACAAAAAAACCTAATAAAATTGTGAATTTTTTGGTGTACGCAAAAAAAAGTCAACTGAAATATACACAAAAAATATATTCATAATACAATAGCAAGAACAAAAGCCTAATAAATATAGGGGCAAAATGTCCACGACGACGCGAAGTTCACTGACGAGAAAATCGTCGCTGTCCAAAAGTAGCACCACGGACAAAACAACAACCAAATCAACTACGAAATCAGCAACAACAAAGTCATCCAACACAAGTGCAACAACTACAACAACAACAACAGATGCAACGGGGAGCGGCAGCAGACAGAAAATGCAATACACAAAGACGAGGGAACGCATTGTCGATGGTACAGTACGAAACAATAATAATTCATACTACTTACATGATCTTAGCACTGCCCCAAAGCTCTACCACAAACATACCTTAAAGATATTGCTATCATCATTCATAGAACCTTTATGACAATCAATAAAAAGCCATTCTTCATTAGCTTAGGTCGTAAATTGTATCTACTGCAACTGCCAGATGCTAGTATATAGTAGACTAATTAAATTCAAATTATATAAAATTTTAATGATATTTTATCTAAAAAATAGTACAGCTATATATAATAAGAAGCCTACTAACATTTACATGCCTTGCAAAAATGTATTAAAACTGCCTCTTGATGGACTTAAAATGTGCTTAAATTCTTTTATTGACTATGAAGTCTCTCAATAAAAAAATATCTTTATATGGTTTTAGTATTCTATAAAATGTGTTTGTATTATATTTTCAAAATCATTTTTATTCACTGTAGACTTGCATTTGAATTCCAAATACTTATACGATACATTTTCAAGTCAACCTCAGTCAAATTTTCATGATGCAGTTTCGAATTTTTATTGATGTTGAGTGTAATAAATCGACAAACGTCAGAAATCAAATAAACATTTCAAAGTAATTTAAAATTTGTCAAGTTTCCCATTTCTAATGACAATTTCCGCATTTCGATAGTCTAAATATATTTTTAGTTTTATGTATAAATGTCATCGAACATTTTGAGATACTCTCAATAAGAGAATGATTTATGCTAATAAATGATGAGAATATATATAAATTATTATTTATATAAATATTACTTGGAGTATATATATATATAAAATATCAAACAATTAACATACATATACCTTTGTCAATATCTCTCTCTCTATCTCTGTGTCTCTCTTTCTCGCTGTCTTTATTTTTCTTTGTCTATCTCCCTATCTGTCGCTCTTGCTCTCTCTTACTTTCTCTCTCTCTCTCTCTCTCTCTCTGGTTCTCTCTCACTCTCTCTCTTTCTTGCTTTCTTTCTTCCTCCCTCTCTCTCTCTCTCTCTCTCTTTCCCTTTTATTCTAAAAGATCTGAGCTAGATATTAATTAAAAATAAACTATCAATAAATTGACATTCAATTTCTCACTTCTACTTCCACGGTCCAAAAATATTTGATACAGCAAACGTGAGCAGTTAATGTTGCATAAAACATAATCTGAATGAAACGTGTTGCAATAAATAAATATTTAATTAAATTGAAAAAATGCTTTGGCAGTCATTATGTACAGCATCTGGGCCGTAGACAATATTGGCATTTTATTGGCATAATGCGCGGTAATTTGAACATTTCGATGAAGACAATCTGAAATCGTGTGCGGACGTATGTGTGTGCGTGTTTGTTTTTGTGTGTGCCAATCAAGGTGCGACTTTTATATTCACTCATTCAAAATTTTCGTAATTAGCGTAGAGAATTCATGTGCATTTACCCCTGGCAGATGCCGCCGCTAGCAGCAGATGTAGCGGGCCTCGTAAATCTGGCAGCTTAGCCAAGCCAAATATTGGCGATAAGTTGCTGCAGCTCGTTAACCCACATGCATATGAAAACACACGCACACAGACAGACTCGCATAAACTGCAATCTATATCAGACGTTGCACATTGCGTATACGCAATGTGTGTGTATATATAAACTAATTAATTCAATTGCTGCTGCTATTTAGATGTGCCCCTGCCGCCCACACACAAACTGACCATGTCCGAGGTCTACGACGATCCCAAAACGGGCAAGCCCAATTTCGATGTGCTGCGTCAGCACTTTCTGCTCGAGGGCCGCATCGAGGAATCCGTCGCCCTGCGCATCATCAACGAGGGCGCCGATCTGCTGCGCGAGGAGAAGAACATGATCGATGTGGAGGCTCCAATTACCGTCTGCGGCGACATTCACGGTCAGTTCTTTGATTTGGTTAAGCTCTTCGAGGTTGGCGGCCCGCCGGCTACCACGCGTTACCTCTTCCTGGGCGACTACGTGGACAGGGGCTACTTCAGCATTGAGGTGAGTGAGTGCCGTGCTGTTGAACTAATTATATAGATAACTTATGCAATACTCTCCCTCTGCACTTTACACAGTGTGTGCTCTATCTGTGGGCCCTGAAGATCACCTATCCCGACACGCTGTCGCTGCTGCGCGGCAATCACGAGTGCCGCCACCTAACGGAATACTTCACCTTTAAACAGGAGTGTGAGTAGAAATGAGGCGGGAAATATGACAAAGGAGATTCATTAGTGATAAGTGAAAGAAATTATTGATTTAATGGAAAAACTTTAGATTTTCTACACTTGTAGAGATAATGCTGTTATCTTGCTTGCTCTTGCATCAATAATCACTTTATCATTTATCAGAATCAAGTTATTTTTATGCATATAAATCTATTGGCAAAATTGGTCTGTAGCATTCGCTTCATTTGTTCCCAGTATCAATTATTCAACTGTCTCATATATCAGATTCTGCTCGAGTGGATCTCTCCGTTTGGTCTCATGTGCTAGAGTGAGACAACTGTCTAGTCTACTTTTCTACTCCAGAACTTTAGTTGATACTGTTAGTAACATTATGATGGGAATTTTAGCACAATAGTAGAAATATACCCATTGGCCTGTTATAACAATCATTCCTTCTAATTCTTATACATCTTACACTCGAATCATTCTATCAAAATTTCCAGACAAACTTATATTGCTACAATCCTTAATTCAATATTATACAACTCTTTAAGTTTGTCAAGATTTTTCGGGCCAATTGATAGACAGATATTAGCACTTCTTATGTTGATCTTACTGTCATTATAAGAGCAACAAGAAGTGCATAAATCTCAAACACCTGATTGGTATTTTTGCTTATTGCTTATTGTGTTTTCGATCCATTTGGCATTGCAGGCATTATTAAATATTCGGAAAGTATTTACGATGCGTGCATGGAAGCGTTCGATTGCCTGCCCCTCGCCGCGCTGCTCAACCAACAGTTTCTGTGCATACACGGCGGTCTATCGCCCGAGATTTTCACACTCGACGACATCAAGACGGTAATAAATTTGGCAGTCGACTGTCTCGCTGAAATGTTTACAATCGTCTGTCAAAATTGTTGTTGGTTCTCGTTTCGTTTTGTTTTGGTCTCGTTTGGGCGAATTGCAGCTGAATCGATTCAGGGAGCCGCCCGCCTATGGGCCCATGTGTGATCTGCTATGGTCCGATCCGTTGGAGGATTTTGGCAACGAGAAGACCACCGAGTTCTTCTCACACAATTCGGTGCGCGGCTGTTCCTATTTCTTCAGCTACGCGGCCTGCTGTGAGTTTCTGCAAAAGAACAATCTGCTCTCCATAGTCCGGGCGCACGAGGCTCAGGATGCGGGGTAAGGCTTTCCTTTTTGAAACTATCTAATATTCGATTTGATTATTTATCGTTGGATTGTTTAAGTTTAGACTTGGGCATTTTCTGAAATCAATTCGTTTACTTGCAGCTATCGCATGTATCGGAAAAATCAGGTAACGGGCTTCCCCTCGCTGATCACCATCTTCTCGGCGCCCAACTATCTGGATGTTTACAACAACAAGGTATGACTTGGCCAATACGATCAACTTTATTTAGCCGCATTTGTATATTTGAATTTGTTCGCTCGTCGTTGGCTATTTTTAAATTACACAACAACAGCAAGAAATCGTTAGCTGCACTGCGCTGCGCTTGTTATAGATCGAGTATTTTTCTTTTATTTGTCTTGCCCGTCTTGCCTCCCCCGTAAATATTGTTTGGCTCTCTCTGTTTTTCATATTTTCGCAACAATTTTTGTCCAAACGCATCGTCAACATTTGACAAAAGGCAGCTGTGCTCAAGTACGAGAACAACGTGATGAACATAAGACAATTCAACTGCTCGCCGCATCCCTACTGGCTGCCCAACTTCATGGATGTCTTCACCTGGTCCCTGCCCTTTGTTGGCGAAAAGGTGAGCCTCCCCTCTCGCCCGCCCATGCCCTTGTCCGGGCCAAGTCAAGCAACACTCATTCCAATCGAAAACCACATTCTATCCTAGGTCACGGAGATGCTGGTTAATGTTCTCAACATTTGCTCCGACGACGAGCTTGTCGCAGGCCCCGATGACGAGCTGGAGGAGGGTATGTATATCAGCTAATACCATTGATGTGCCTGTGTAAGTGTGTGTATATGTGTGTGTGTGTATATATATGTATGTTTAATGTCGTATGCACCATAGTAGCTGAACACAATACAACACGGACAACAATTTTTATCGGCAGACCGATATCGAAATGCCTTTGCAGTGGTATGCTATTATTGTAAGAGGTTTTTCATATAATATATGTGTTGGAGTAGTCCAAATCGGAAGGAACCCTTGCATGGCTCTATTGGAATATAATCAAATAAAATTTGTATAGGCATATAAGAGAAGGACTACAGAACTTTGATTCTGTAATAAACAGTTTACTTAAATCATATTTATTAGGCTATTATATTTAATGAGTTTCAGATCTAGGTAAGATCAGATAAAAATAGAGCATTTAATAGAATTTCAAATGCACTCTAGCTAATTCCATAAATGTTGAATCGAATAGTTTATTCTATATATGTAGCTATATCTCAACTGGAAGAGTAAGACCTCAGACTTTAAGCATTCGCCTTGATAAGAGGATAATATGATTCTAATCAAATTTACATATTAAGGAAAATACCCTCTGCAAATGTATTTCAAAGCAATGAATCCACACCAACAATTACTAATCTAATATTACCACAAATTATTTTCAAAAACAAAAAACAAAATGTAATAATAAAACCAACAACAACTTCAACAACAACAACAACATCGACAACAACAACACATAACCAAACAACCGACCACTGAATAAACACGCCCCCTGTTTGTGGGATGCTGTTGGGATGTGGGCTATTTTGGTGCGTCCGTACGTAGAGCTGCGCAAGAAAATTGTGCTCGTGCCGGCGACAGTGAATAATAATAACAATAACAATAATACGCCCAGTAAGCCAGGTAAGCTCCGTGTTGCGAGAGAGCTTTGCACAGCTTTGATCAGCTTTGGCACAAAGCTTTGCCTGAATATTGTCGAGCGCGCGCCCGCACCAGAGTTGCCTAGATATGCTGTTAAAATGTATATAGCTGTATATATATGTATATAGATGATTGGATGGCTTTTCATTTGAATTAACCCAACTAATTGAGCTCTACGTATTCGCAGCTTCCATGTCGGCGCTGCGCAAGGAGATAATTCGCAACAAAATACGCGCCATTGGCAAAATGTCGCGTGTCTTTTCGGTTCTGAGGTGAGCAGAGATTCTCATGTAACCTGGTCTTTAAGCATATTAACTGTCGTACACCTTGCAGGGAAGAGTCGGAGAGCGTGCTGAAACTGAAGGGCCTGACGCCCACGGGCGCATTGCCAATGGGCGCGCTGTCTGGTGGGCGTGATTCACTCAAAGAGGGTGAGGAAACCAAAACAAAGCAACGAAACATAGAACATACTACATAGAACATAGAACAGAGAGCATAGAACATAGAACATAGAACATAGAACATCGACATTAGACCGAGAACATAGAA